GTATGTAATAGGCATATGATTGTATCTATATACCTAACTTAAATACCTGTATATCTATACTTACATGTTCCTACAGTGGGAAGCCCCGCCAGCCGAGGCGGGCGCGCGCTAGCGTTTACAATATTACCCCAATATTACCCCAATGACACATCTGTTGTCAAGTAGAAGCTGCCAAGTGGCTAGAAGCAGGATCTTGGCAGCGTAGTCCGCCTCACAAGCTTTTTCGGTCCGGAGGTCTGCAACGCAGGGTTCGTTAACATCCAGGACTGGGAGGGTCAGGGGGACTTAGTAAGTAGGATAATAATGGGGATAATTGGGGATACTATATGGCTTATAGGGGTTATAAGTATACTTACTAAGTCCCCCTGACCCTCCAAGGATGCAACCATGTTCCAAGCACTGCTCCATGGACAACACGGCTGACTTTTAGGTGTATCTGAAATGACAAGTCTGTCGGCTGCAGTAGAGATGCACACTCTGCTTGATGCTATAAGCTGGGGCATTGACCATTTGGCTTGCCAGAAATAACAGGGCTAAGGCCATGTCGGCCTGGCCCACCTGATTTATTGCAGGGTAGGAGATCTCAAGCTGCATGCATTCGCCAACGGCAATGCAGTCACAAAATTCACACGCACATTTTCCATGAGCAGCTATGCATTTCAACGGCTTGCCCAACTGAAATGAACCACGCAGAGAGTCTGAGCGTGGCACTGCCTGCACGAACCAACGGCGCGGGTGGAAGGACCAGCCTGCTGCAAGGGTTCGGGACAATAATGAACTTGATTATAGGGTTTAGGGTTTAGGGTCAATAATAAACTTGATTATGATGATTACTACACTGCTACATTCTCTACACTGCCCACACTGTAATCATTAGCACCATTCAGATGATTGCAGGATTAGAGAACCAAAGGCCATGATCTGACTCATGCTCAGTTGAGCCATAGTCTAAACTCCTTAAAGGGGGTTGTATACCAACAAAAAATAGCACTACGAAAAACAATAAGAACAACACTGATAAGGAAAAAACAACAGTGTTACGAAAATCAAAGTCAATAATGATAACAAAAATGAGTCACCAAAAGCTCAGCGCATGTGACACATAATCCCTATGTAAGCCTTATATACAATCATTATAAATTACAATCTCTATAACCCCTATATAATGCCTATAATCCCTCTATAACCCCTATATAATCCTTGTAATCCCTATCCTTCTAATCCCTATATGAGCCAATGACTTGGAGGGCCTGGACCATGGCCGAAGCCCCGGCCAAAAGCTCTGCGTCGGGCTTTTGGGTCCTTGGCAGTGCAGCGGACACATTGGAGCTCCTGGTAAATTTAGTGCTTCGCTGCTTAGGGATTATATAGGGATTAGGATTATTAATATAGGGATAATGGAAAGGAAAATGGAAACTACTATATAGGGTTTAGGGTTTAGGGAATTAAATTGGAGCTCCTGGTACATTTAGGGTTTAGGGTTCGGGGGTTTGGGGTTTAGGGTTTTGGGTTTGATGCGTGGTACATATTTGGGGGTTTCCAGGATTCTAAAACTGCTTGGTGAACTCTTTTGGGAGAGATGTCCGAAGCTTTCGCATCTTCTCACTAAACACAACGGGCCCCTTGGCCCTGACGCGCAGTATTTCAGCAGATGTGCCTTGACTTCATACAGTGGCCACCAAACTAATGGTCCCCATTGTAATACGGCCACTAATATTGAGGGCACCCAAGACAGGACTTACTGTTGACAGCCGATACAATGCAATGAGGATGTCGCAGCAAATCGCGGTCTCCTTTTGTCTGCTGAAAGCCTCGTCTGCCACTGTTCTGCAGCAACCAAAGTCGCTGGAAAATCCCATCGCTGCGGGCGGTTCTGGCTTCCAGGCTCATGGAGCGTGTCTCAAAGGATTGCGGTTTCAGACTAGATGAGGCTCATTTGGGCCGCATTTGGGGAAAACGGCTATTTGGGAGGGGGTACTGTAGGATCCTATGACATTCACATGACAACGTTGTCATACACATGAAGCAAACCCGCACCCCACTCTGCAAAAGGCTCTTGCACGTGCAAATGCAGAATGAGACATGCGTTCATACCCGAAATATGGGTAATCTCCAGATTTAGACCACCTAGAACAACACATCCACGAATGTCCCTAAACTCCCCATACAGAGCCTGGAGGGCGGCCTGTACCAAGCACACATAGCCGCTTCAAAGCTTCAAAGCATTCTCACACACGGGACTATTAGACATCTTGCTCTCCCAAACAGACACGGAACCCTAAACCCTACATAGCAGTTTCCATTCCATTTTACATGTTATTTTCCATTTGATTCTGTTACCCCAACAAAAGCTTCTCTTGAGAAGGCATCAATCTTTGTCCGGCCATATTGGTATTCCATTATATAAGGATAATGGAAAGAAAATGGAAACTACTATAGTATCTTGGGGCTCTATACTCTATAAGGATAATGGAAAAGAAAATGGAAACCACTCTAGTATATTGGGTTCTATAGGGATAATGGAAAGAAAATGGAAACTGCTATAGTACATTGGGGTTCTAGAGGGAAAAGGAAAAGAAAAGGGAAACTGCTATAGTATATTGGGGTTCTATAGGCAAAAATGGAAAAGAAAATGGAAACTACTATGTTACACTGTTGGGATTCCATGTTTTTTTCGGGGGAGCATACTGCAAAGGCCGGTCTCACACAGGCCCTCAAATGGAGATGAAGCCGACATCATCCGACCTCAGATTTGCATCTGCTCAGAGAAAGTTGTATAAGGCCGCTTGGCAACAGCAAAGCAAAAACCCACTTACTGCTAATACTTTGATCTCATTGTGCTTAGCAGAAGTCTTTCAATTGTCAGCCCTCGTTTTCACATCATATGAGGAGCGTCGCCTTCGCTAACTACTGCCATAATGTCTAAACAGTTGGACGAAGCAGGATTGCCTCATCCGCGGCGGTGGCGACGGAACTGACGGAATCACGTCGCCCGAGATGCCTCAGGCAGCAACCTTTGCCTTGCCTCTTTGTAACGACGATGACGACATGAGTTCTTGCGGTCAGAATGCGCGCTTTACTGGGACTCAAACAGGAGGCCGTTGCATGGAAGGAAAGTTTGCCTGGATTCCTGTAACGATTACTGTGACCGGAACTAGACAGGAATGCGAACACAGGCATCCGTCTTGCTCCTTTGCAGAACTACTGGTTGTCTTTGGCCATCACGACGCTGAACGAAGAAACGTGCGTGTGTCTCCACCCCAGCAAGCTTCGCGAGAAGTACTCTGAAAAGTGCCAACCTCGAAAGCTGACGCGACTGCTGCAATTATCACATGTCCATTCTGAACATGGTACAACAGCTGTTAAACCTGTACCTGTAAACCTTGCGCCGTTCGGGCGACCAGGGGCGTTGCTTAGCAGCACTGTCCCTAAAGTCTAGCGAGCCCGGAAAGAAATTTTCGATTCTGAAGAGCCCTGGTATGAGCAATGTTGGGCCGATGGAAGAAAGAGAGTTCGGCGTCCACGTCTCCAACACAAACGCACGTCGTGTAAAGATCCCCACAAGCATTGCATATTTCCTCTCAACCCTGAAGTTCCGATAGGTTGCTTGGTAGCACATTCCCATGCTGCTACAAGAGGGTTGAAATTGCAGGTCGTGCGGCACTTCTTCTCTGTGGACCAACGGCCACCACTGGTGGTCAGCTTGAACCAGGCCTGCAAACGGGGCCCCTTGAAGGGATTACATCAAGTATATGAGGTACCCTTCAAAGGATTACACAGGCGTACGTGGAATTTAGAGCTTTGGGGTTCAGATTTTGCATCTAGAGCCTGAGGTTTGAGGATTATCGTTCAAGGTACACAGAGCGCGTTGACTCAGAAGTATGCCAATACCATATACTCCTCAACGAAGATCTGGGGAGCCATTTGGGGGTCCTGAATCTAAGGGTCTAGGGAATCTTCCCATTGCGTTAGCTTTGGACTCTCTGGGAGTTCAGACGAAAAACATGTCAGCCCAAGCTGTGCTGAGGAGGCCCTGAATGCTGCCACACCTCGTCAAAGGCTGTATCAAGGGCCCCCTGGTTCTGGGCAAACTCCTGTTAGGGACAGCGGTTGCAGCAGTGGAGCAGACTCATGTTGAGGAGACATGCGGGAGCAAAAGGGTGCTTGGGACAGGTCCTGGCTGTTCCCCGTCTTGCCGCTGCATGGCTTATAACCCCAATAACCCTAATAACCCTAATAACCCTAATAACCCTAATAACCCTAATAACCCTAATAACCCTAATAACCCTAAACCTTAAACCCTTGCATGTGTTTGTTTCCTGCCCGGCTTTGGAACAAAGCCCAGGGTCGCATGCCCCAGCTGTAGCCCCTGTCTGCTGTGCAACTCTTGGAAAACCCCTCTGTAGCGGGCATACCTTGGGTACTGCCCTAAACCCTAAACCCTAAACCCCTAAACCCCTAAACCCTAAACCCTAAACCCAGGGGTCATATTAGGGGCTATGTATACATAACTAGATTATGAATATTAAGCGCAGCCCTAGGTCAAAGCTGGGCTGCGCTGCCCTTTGTCCTGGACAATGGAGAAGTAGGCGTTGTCATTCAGGAGGGCCATGTCACTGGTGAGCCTCCAGGAGATTGCAGAGGATAGGATACGAGATGTGTTGGCAACATGTTCTTGAGGCTATGGGTCGAAACTGCGGTCCAACCCACCTCTATGCCATAGAGTTTCCTCAGCCTAAGTATCCCCTCAAACTGGGGACACCATACGCCTAGAAGCCATCCTCACAGTGCTTGTGAGCCCAGGAAATCCACGTAAACCGCCAAGGACGGCTGGAGAAGCCCTACCCCCAAAAGATCTGAGAGTCCATATATCCCTTTGCTTTGCTTCTGACATCCAAACACCCTGCGAAACCTGCATGCTAAGCCCTTCACCCCCTACCCGGTCCTTCCTAAAGAAAATGGGAATCTTCCCTCCAGAATCCCTATATCATTTCTATAGAATATTTTCCCTTGTTACCTATTCCCTACTGAGTAGCGTTTTTTTGGTGGTTTGAACCCAGTAAGATTATATTCCCTATGTAAAGCACTATACCCCAAAAGGAGGACATAATCTTACTCTATAATGGGTACCATAGTATCCCCAAGTAAAATACTACTCTACTGAACACCACTAGGAATCTCAACACTTGCACCGCGTTACCTCATGAGGTTCTCCTCGGAGGGCGCAGCTCCTTTCACGCGCCACTGCCAGTGACCACCAGGGCCTAGCTGCAGGGCTGGCTATAGGGTTTGGGTTTAGGGTTTAGGGTTTAGCTTTGGGTCTGAAGGTTTTGAATGTTGGGTTCAGTTGGGTTCAGGGTCTAGCGGCTCAGGACTTAGGATTCTGTGTTGTTGGTTTTCAGTACAAGGTTTGGGACAAGCTGCTTCTGTGTGGGGATTCTAAAGTGGGGTCGGAAAGGAGCCTTGGGAATCGTAAGGAATAGTGCCTGAAATCTAGACTCAACTAAGGTTGCAAGTATAGGGATACCATGACATGTTTCAAAAAACTTGACGAGTCCTGCCTAGGCTATGTGGACTATCTGGAAGGTAGATAGGGACCCACACTTAGAGGTCAGCATCGCCTGCCAATCAAAAACCCAATGAAGGAGGCATATGGCATATGCGTTACGTTAGAGTAGTGCACAAAAAGCATTCCGCACGGGACGCCGTAGGGGCTGTGGGCACCACGTTTCTTACTCTTGCATGCTTCATCATACTTCCACCTGGCACACCGCCATCAAGTCTTTCAACATCTTACAGTGATCGCGTCTATACTGTCAACACCCGTGGTCTCAAACTTGGCTAGCCTTGACTCGACAACTGCTGGTCTCAGGCCCGTACCGGTAAACTTCTCCCAGGTGCGATTCATGAGCATGACGAAGTACTCGTTGTCCTCTGCAGAAGAACAGGACCCTTATATCCTCAACTCTGAACCCATGATCTTGTTTCAATACTCCCGGCTGATTGATGTAACAAGTATTGGCAGGCAGCCACTGTGCTGGGTCCCCTGCCCATTTCGTAGGGTTGGTCGTCCAGGGGCCCTCCATGCCTTTGCTGTTTCTGCCAGACGAGCTGCATGCAGAACTATGCCACCACCATAAGAGGCCCAGATCCCTGCAAGTGACCTTGTTGTCATCTCTCATGTCCGATGGAGGTCGCCATGAGTGGGATCCCCGGCATACTCCAGAAGGATTTAACAAGCAAAAGTCAGGACGTCTCAGAATTGCCACAAGTGGAGCCAAGAAGCCGCTCGTGAAGGTGTCTGCCCTGACAGGGGAGGAGCAGAGAAACGAATATGACATGCAAGGGGGACTAAACCCTGAACCCTAAGCCCTAAATAGTAGCTTCAATTTCAGTTTCCATCCATTATTCTGGGTCTGGGGCTTCAAACGGAATCACACATCTCCTTCTCAATACCCTTTCAAATGTGGATGATGCTGGCTTGCATTCATTTGCTGGGGACTCTGATTCTAGTGCCCCTATCCTGAGGGCATATTCTTTTGAAGAAGTTGCAACACCAAATCTGAGAGGATAATCAGCATTGAGGTTATGACAACAACGCACCTTGAAGGAACCCAGGAAAAAAGCAAAGTTGGCTGCATGTTCTGATTATGACAAGCCAACTCGCTGAATCACTTTCGAGACATACGTGACACTTCTGAGGCAGTGACCCCTTGCCACTTCCGCACTTTCCTGGCCAAGGGTTGTTGATGTCCTGGCAGCAAGGGCACGCACAGTCTATCTAAATTGCACGTCCCCCACGTAATCGAGTCAACAGAAAGGAACAGCCAGCCCTCCCATCCAAAACAGGATAGGGGCAGGCTCTTAGACCACTCCGTTGGTGAGGAGGGCTAACAGCTTGCGAGTTGTGTTAACATGACAGAAACGCATCCTGAAATTTCTATTGGGCTCCATCAAGATCCTCCTACAAAAGCTTACTTACCTAAGTTCCCCTAAGTTCCTATATATAGCCCTTATATGACACCATGTCCATTTCATATTCCGTTTTCTTGTCCACTTCGTTCTCCATTATTGGAGGGTAATATCAAGTAATATCGATGAACGCTTAACCCCAAACCATAAACCCTAAACTATAGTTGCCATTTTCTTTTCCATTACCCCTATATAACCCCTACATAAACCCTTCATGACCCTACATACCTACATATCCCTATAAAATGATCCCCTAAAACCCCCTAAGCCCTCTTTTCCGACAGCCTCACTCACTTCAGGCAACCCAGCCCTGTGCCTCGCGAGGCGCCGGCCCAGGGCCCGAAGGGCACGCACCATGGCTCTTTCCGAAGGCGTGGCCGCCTCCGATGAGGGCCACCTGAGCTTGAAGGTTGAGTAACTATTACCCAAGTCTGGTACTTATAACTGAGCTAGGAGATCATATTGAAGGACCTAAGGGGCTTATGATAAGGCCATAGGTACAGTTGAAACCGGATTGTAATTCAGGTTACCCTGAACCTCCAAAAACCTAGAATGATCCGTTACACCTTACATACCAAAGCAAGGCTCCTTTACATCCTCTTATGCACTCTGGCTTGCCCGGTGGCCGTCTGCGAGTCGTTCATGCCCATACGGCCGAAAGCGTCGCGCACGTCGTGGGCGGAGGCCTTCCGAGCCCAGGTGGCATCTGGAGGTTTCTTTGGAGACTTCCAGACTTCTTACGTACTATTGTACGCCCAAAACTACGATAATCGTTAGCATAGGGACTCCCCCCAAAACAAATGATCCAATTTTGGAGACATCTACATGCAAAGATACATTCGGTTGTTGGGAGGCTACATTGGGATTGCGAGGCTTCTGCGGGGTTTCTGAGAGTGGGTCTAAGAGGAGTCTACATGGAAAGGACGACATGCTTCTGGGGGTGTATACGGCAGCCTAGTATGGAGCACCTGCCATACTTTGCTGCGGGAGTGATGCAGGTAATGCTCATGTAGTGAAGACTTACCCCTCGAGCAGTAAACATATGAGGTATAGTCTAAACTCCTAGCATGCCCCTTAGTAGTCGGTATTTTTCCCTATATAATCCCCTGTATAACTCCCTTCCAGGAGTTTAGACTAGAACTCAGATGAGTTGAATAACTGCAGTGCCAAAGGTAAGAACAATTAAGACTGGCTTATTCATCTCCCCCTCTCTAATCCTTATTATGGGGAGCCCCAAAAAGGTACCCCATATTTTGGGAAACCCTCTATCATTCTCTTCAGCTGGTACACTTTTATTTGCAAAAGGCTCGCACACCTTGGGGTCCGGATTCGGTGCCCAGCTGCCGTCCGGCTGCTTGGCCACCGGGCCTCACACAGCCATGTAGCCCCTTGATGGCGGTGGTGAGGGTATCTTGGGTAGCATGATGAGGAGGAGGGGTAGGAGGACTGGTGGTGGTGGCGATTGTACTGCCACCACCAACACCGCAAACCACTACCATCACCACCACCACCACCACCACAGCCGCCGTCGCCACCACCACCACCAATGTGGTCTGCCAGCACTGCTGTAGAGGTAAGCAGCTTAGAACTACGAACTCCAACAAGCATGATCGTGCCAACATACTTCTTGCCTAATTTTAGAGCAAGCGCTGCGCACTTCGGCTGTCTCCATGGCAGGCGCAAAGAGCCAAGCTATCGAGGATCGCAGCCAAGTCGTGAAAAAGTCAAAGCCAGTCCCAAAAACTCCCTGGCGCCTTCGGGGTTCAAGTAGATGAGGCCGACCTTTGTTGCACAGCAGTGTCTCCGCCCGCACACTTGTGTCCTTACAAACTGGCTCCAGCATGGCGACAGCGAGTGCTCAAGACTGCACCACCCGCTCAGGCTCTAGTAAAGGTGCCTTTGATTGCCACAGATGCGCTGGAGCATGCTGGAGCTGGCAAGGCACTGTGGTGCTTCCCAGCGGTCGCTGACAAGTGCCGTTGATTGGGCAGGGCGCATACTTTTCCTGGCCGTTAAAGCGGCATAGAACATTGGGCTTAAGGTTTAGGGCTTGGGCCTCGGGGTCAAGGGGGCCGAGGTCAGAGGCTGGCTATGAATGAACCACAACTGACTACTGAAAGGGGCCAAGGCTGCCGGAAAAGCTTGCTTGAATACAAAGCACCGACAGTTACAGGTCTCCGTCTAAAAGTCGTTGAGCCATTATGAACACCTATACGTGGTACCATACATCCCCGGAATTTTGGTCGAATCCTGAAGTTGCAACTCCTATCACTTTTATCCTGATGCTTAAGCTGGACTGCCTCTAAAGTAAAGGACAGCCTTCCTACAATGCTTCCTCCACAGTTGTTTTTACTCTCTTCACAGTTTAGGGTTAGGGCTCAGGTGCTGGTCACAGGATTCGAACCAGGAGAAGTCACATGGGAAGTTCTTCTGAACCTGTTGGTGTTGAGAGGTTGCGGGATAACCATATGCTTTAAGGGCCAGAATCCTAACATCGGGTTTCATTTCATGATCATTTCTCATCCCTCGCCCAACATACGGATCAAACACGCCCCCACCCGTAGCCGTAATATTGAATATATCTCCCAAGGCTTCTTATGGGGAATATCTGATACCACGCACGGGGAGGTGCTTGATGTTGGTAAGGGTGGATTAACTTCAATTTAAATAGCCGAGGCCGTTTTTGCCACGCAGGCCTTTCAATCGATTGGGGGATCAGATAATAAACAGGTCCCGCATGGCGCGATACTCCCATAATCCTGGAAGTCTGCCTAAACCCAAGACCCTCAACCGAAAACCCTAAACCCGGAAAATCAAACCCTGTATCCCTAGCACTGAAGCCGAAGCATGTGAGCTATAGTCTAAACTCCCAGCATCCCCCGCCAAATACTACCCCACTATATAAGCCGCTTTAAGGAGCTTTGACCCTAAACCCATGTAATCCCCTATATAGAGCCCTATGTTATCCCCTATATAACCCCCTTTGAGGAGTTTAGGCTACAGTTCATGTAAACCCTATGATCTATCTAAATAATCCCCCCTTAAGGACTTTAGGAGTTCATTATAAAACCCCCTTATATAATCTCCCTTTAAGGACTTCAGGAGTTCATTATGAAGCCCCCTTATATAATCCCCCTTTAAGGACTTTAGGTGTTCATTATTAACCCCCTTAAAAAATCCCGTTTAAGGACTTTAGGAGTTCAACCCTAATTCCTAAACGCCTAAACCCTTTAAGGGTTTCAGACTACAGCTCATCTCGCCTGCTCCGGGCTGGGGCCCAGATCCAGGCTCTCTGTGCCTGCAGAAGAGAAATTGGGTTTCCAGCTATGGTCTTAGGAATTTAAGGTGTAGGATTTAGGGTTTAGGATTTAGGGTTTAGGATTTTTGTTTTAGGGTTCAGGAATTAGGGTTTAGGATTGAGGGTTTAGGATTTCAGGTTTCGGGCTTAGAATTAAGTACGCGGAGAGTATCCCTGATGAGCATGTGTAGTACCTGCAGCATGGGTCCTTCAACTTTATTCAGACCCCTATAGGCTTCTTGCGTTTTGGGAAGAGGAACTCAGCAAAAGCAACAGATGAGCTATTGTCTAAACTCCCGGTATCCACCTTAATAAGCCGTAGAATACTCCCCTTTATAACCCCCTTTCAGGAGTTTAGACTACAGCTTAGATGAGTTTTCGTGGAACGTCTTCCCGGACGAGACCGACAACCTAAACCGCCCACCCGCACCCTGGACCCTTGAAAAGCACCTTTACTAGGATGCCTATGTCAACCCCATTTTCTCCCTAAGTCATCTCTAGATAGCCCCTATACAATATGAAGTATTCCTATATTCCCCAGTATTTGCAGTGAGAAACTCTAGCCTCTACATGGTGTAATCCTAATGACATTCATGGTGGCATTTGGAATCAGTCCAAAGAGCAATACTAGTACCATTCCAACAAGAATTAGGATACGGGCATCATAGTAATAGCAGGAGGCCCTTTGAGACCCTGGGGATACAAAGCGACTTTGAAGACTCCATCAAGGATTCTATAAGGTCAAGTTTCAGAAACTCACACTTGAGTTCCCCTTGAAATCCCCTCATCTACATGAGTGTGTGTACGCTCTCAATACTAGCGAAAACCATATCCCTGCAGGCAGACCATCTGGGGAGTCGATGCGGCCAGCGCAGTACTGCGAAATCGGACCGCCCATCGTCTTGATGGCCGTGGTGCCTGCCTTAGCCAAGCGGGCTCAGGAAGGCTTTGGCTAAATGTTCTTACTATGTTCGGTACGAAGTTTGCTACCGACGCCAAAGTTATTACGACTATTCTGCTGAATCTCGGAAAGGTTGGCGTTGCCTAACACATGAGCTTTGCAGGCAATTGTACATTGCGAGGGCATGGCCCTCCATGCTCAGGCGGTGGCCAGTGTGAACAGGTCTCCCCAGCTGAGACCATCTCCATACCTAGCTCAGTCAACAGCAGGCCGGGAAGCAAAGATCTGCCTTTCCTCCGAAAAAAAAATTGCAGTGTTGAACCATCCCAAAGTAATCCGGCAGCAGACCCTAGCTCAGATGCTTCCAAACGCTCTTCTCCATTGTTACATCAGTCAGAATGTAAGCCATTTACAAAAGCCCCGGCAGAACTTCCGCTCATGGCGGTATGCACTGGCCGGTGACCTCCCCGCATGTCCGCATGAGTACGAGCAAACGAAAATCTCAACACGATCCGGATAGACAGAATACTCTGTCAGTATGCTCCGGTCAAGAGGTATCGCCTCTAGCTCGCCAAAAGACATTGCTGGAAAAATCGATTGACTGCTCCACAGGATGACCTGCAGGATTTCTGGTAAACTACATGTCAAGATAATTACTCAAAATAGAAGACAAACATAAGGTAAAAGGCAATAAAGACCAATATGGGTGTAATCCTGCAAAACCTGTTTGTTGAATGAAGTCTGACTGGTCTGGGTTGCTAGCAAGGAACTTAAACGAAATTACTATAACAAGGAAAACCCATGATTTACCATACCTATATTCAGGTGACTCTAATTCAAGTTCCTTAACAGACAGATGAGCCGCTTCTCCTTGACAGGACACAAAAGTGACTATAAGGCATAGGGTTTTGGGTTTAGGGTTCTATTAGGACCCTAAACCCCTAGACCCCAGACCCCAAACCCTAAA